CTCTATCTCGCTCTCTATCTCGCTCTCTCTCTCGCTCTCTCTCTCTCTCTCTCTCTCTCTCTCTCTCGCTCTCTCGCGCTCCTTCGCTCTGTGCCTGTGTGCACCATCCTCGGAAATTTCATGAGGAGGCAGTGACGCTAGATCTAGACTGCAAGCTGGGCCCGGACTCGCACCAAGATTGGAAGCCGATCGCGGCAAAAGCACAAGTAAGCTCGACACGATTTTCCCATTAACCCGCTTGGTAACTCTAGCATCAAGCCAACCGTCACGTTGATCATGCTGTCAATGTGTAAGTGTATGGGCTGCTCTTTGCGCTCTGGAGGCCGAAAGATGCCAGCATCAACCTCCAGCAGAATTCAATCTTCACCCAAGCCACGAGCTGCATTGCACAAGCCTTACGCACCTGTAGATGTCATAGCCCACGCATGTCGTCAAATCATTCAGGTGTGGTCCCTTCCAGTCTCCCAATTGAGCTACCTGATGTCCGGGGCTCAGCATTTCTTGACAGAGCATGTTGACCGCATCCTGCGTCAAGCTGGATAGCGTTGGGACATGCTCTCAGGTACTGTTGTGAGCTCTTGAAATTTGTCGACGATCTGAAAGCAATACCAGATCGCATTGCTTTTCTGGTGCTCGAACTCAGATGCAAGTGAAGCTCCTGTGACGACGATGTCTAAAATATAGGTCCCTTCGCCGGTCGCACGTCTCGAAAAGGTCCTGACCCGGGGCGTTATGGGGCGACACACCGGCGAGATGATGCCTGCGCAGTACACAGGAGTGCTCGGAACCACTGTCCGGGACCTGACGTTTTGCAGTTCCACTGCTCCGTCGAATATCTTGTCCTTGCTGAAACTCGGGTTTCACGTGTCGCAACAGGTCTGGGCGATCTGCCGAACTATTCGCTTAGAATCTCCGAAGCTCCTGGTGGCCACTGTGGATGTCCCGCCATCGCCTCAACACATCGGAGTCGCTTCTGCCGTCGCGTGCGGTGATTCAGCCCTGCCAGCTGCTGCCGCGTTTCCTGACCGCTGCCACATGTATTCCTGTCAGGAACAGCGCCACTGTTCACGAGATGACGGACTGCATCCGAGCCGCAAGTGCCTGAGATTTTATCGAAGGCGCGCAGCGTTTGTCAAACTGCTGTTGCATCTGTTGCCCTGAGGCACAACTCGATTCGGGCCCACGCAATGAAGTCTCTTTCATTATCGATCGGAACAACCAGCTAGGCCGGGGAGTGTTCATGCTCAGAATTCTGCAGCTTTGGAACTTGCAGCTGCAGGAAAGAGGCCTTACTAGTCGGACCGCTTCTTCGGGCCGGATACCTCATGACTTCTTCGGTAGAGTTAGCTTTTCGCGTGATGCTGCGAAAAGATGATGTGAGCTGCGCACCGCAATGATCACTAGACCTGCCTGCACCATCTCCACAGCAAGCGCTCTCATTCAGCTGTCGAGGCCACAGTGCGAATCGACATTGTGCTCTGAATAGTGGCTCATTCTGTCAGCATTTCGAGGAGGTTAAGTTGAATTAAACCTTAAACCCAAATCCTTTAACATTCAAAACCCAGCCTGGCCCACTTGATGCCCCAAGACACTGAACCAGCATCGTTTATGCACGCCGCAAACCTGTCTTGCCCTGCATTTGTTGCTTGGTTTGATCCCGAAATCATGGCCGCGGTGGCCGGCGACACAGGTGCCTCTGGACATTCAGCATGATTGAGGGATTGGAGGTTGGTTTATGGCGCGGTCCGGAAGTACAAGCTTTTCGCCGGCCATGCCGTTTCTGCCGCTGCAAGACTCATGCAGGAATCGTTAGAGAGAGGGCCGAATCGCTTGAAATGTCATTCAATGCCTTGGGCGTGCCTATACAACTATGGCCTCCCATCAGAAATTTTGCGCAGGCTTGTTTGTGCAGCTGAAGTGGCATCCCACTGCATCTCGAGGCACAAGCTTCTCTCCGTTCGAGGTGGCGCTGCAAGAGGTACGATGCGGCCCGCTTTCCTCCGAAGTGAAAATTTACCGAAACGGGGCGTTCGTTCGACTCGGCCCCACGTACGTGTGCCTTCCAGGCACATGGCCGACTGCTTGCAGCGCACTCTGCGGCCATGGCCACTATGGAGGCCCCCGGGGGCCGGAGCGCCATGGCCGAGAGACGCTGCCCCACCCTGGCGGGATTGAGCTGCAAGAAGAGGAGGAGGTAGTTTTAGACGCTTCGCAACGTCTGCCTCGGCCCGGCTGGACTAGAAGCAGGTGCATCGTTTCGAAAAGCAACGGGTAGGTCACAGTTCAGGTCTTGAGCGAATGAGCGCATTTGCATCAAATCAAAAGGTGTTCTAATGCCAGTAGTTGTTTTCATGTTGAGGCTCTGAGCAATAATCCCACGTGGAAGGTTGCACATTCCCTGCATTCATATGATCATCGTATCACACTTGTCACTGGTCTCGTATACAACCGAATCTTTGCAACGAAGTACAAGACATAGCCCCAGAATTGCCAGGCTTTGGCATCAGCTTCAGGAACGATGTAAGCCAGCCCATCTTGCCTCGCCACAACGCAAAAAGAGACATGGGAAGCGGGGACACACACCCTTAGGGGACGGGTGGTGTGGGCAGGGGGGGTGGGCGGGGGGGGGGAGGGACGAAGGGGTGAGGCAAGAAGGGGTGGGTGACTGACTGAGGTGGGGAAACAGGAAATCCCTGTGCGAACCTCTCTGACCGTTTCGGCCGAAGCCGAGGCGAGTTTTTTTGTCTCCTTGTCGATGCTTCTGCCGTTCTGCAGCTCAAGCATAGCACCTGCATGAGTCTGAGCCGCGCTGTGTGATGGGCCTCCGTTTCCGGTAATGGCTCTGGGTCGCTCCTCGGTGAGCATTGAGCTTATGAGGCACCTCGTCAAGACTGACCGTCGGCAGAGGCTTTTTAAATGTTTGCAGGAGTGCTTGGCGGGTTGATAACGGCAACGTCTTTCCTTCTGTGCGCCACCTCCGTGTGCGACGAGGAAGACACAGGCGTGCGGACATCGAGAGCGGCAAATCATGAGTCCTCACTATCTCGTTTGCAGGTGCCCTTCTACAACTGAAGGAAGCTTCCAGACCTGATGCTATGGATGGTTGCCCATCATGCAGACAGCGGATTCCGGCGTCAGACCGGTTGTGATTTTGCTGTGGTTCGAGGCCCCGAAAGCATCGACCAGCGCCTTCTCGCTTCGTGGCTCCTTGTAACGAGGCCAGGAAGAAAAGTGTTGGGGTCTGAGTTCTGAGCCTTACTGGTCTAGATCCTAGATACTGTCTGACTGTGCTGACAGGACTTGGAGCCAATACCGGCCGCACAAGGAGGCGACCCTGAGCATGATGGACGCTTGGCTTCAGTTTGGGGTTCTTCATGTCTACTGTGAAGTCTACATGGAAGCTAGCTGCTTCAGACGCGTAGTCGCTTTCTGCTTCGTGACATCAAAGACCCATGACATGGCAGTCACAAAGGAGTCGAATGAGACCATCATGGCTTGGGCCTAAGACTGGATCACTGAAGGATATGGCTGCTTTAGGCTGAAGATAGTTCTGGAAGTTCTGACTTCGGCAGCCACACCTCCTGCTACAGCTACGGCTGCTCCGCTACTGCTACTTCTAGTATCGTTGGCACTGTTTTTCCACGGAGGCACGGTATCTCCACGGTTCTTTTGACGAGGCCGGGCATTGCTTGGATTTGGTGACATGGCACAGACGTGCATCTTCAACGTACACTGTTCGGCATAAGTCGGAGCATTGATTGTCTAATGTTTTTTGTCGAATCACGCCTAGGAGCACGCGGCTGCCACACGAGAAATGAAGCCAATGTAAAGCTATGAGGTTTTGTGCTCTTGGCAGGCGAAGGGTTGTGTACTGAAACTCTGAACGAATTGCCCGGGAAGGTTCAGGAACGTCATCCCACGGACCTGATGTGGATGACCATGATTCCCTGTGCTGTGGTTGGCGTTGCAGCCTATCTGCATTTCGATACCTGCATTGACTGCATTGCTGCTCGACGACTGCATTTCTTGCAACTACGCCCTCAAACCCGAGGCTGTAGCCGCTGCAGCAACGACAATGATGATGCAACACTTCGCTCAACCAGGCCAGGCTTGCAGCGCGAGTGAGAGTCAGATCCTCGACTAGGAGTAACTTCACTTGAGCCACCTGCGAGTCCAAACAAGGCCAAGCCAAGCCACTCAAAGCCAACAGCCGCACTTGTCAGAAGAAGTCACGCCCCTTGTCCTCGACAAAGACGGCGAGGAAACAGAGGTTGACAAATCGACTGGAGGCTTGGGCGCATGCTGCAAAACTTTGGAACCGTTTGGCATCAGCAGCGCCGAGTTGCGTTTGCTCTGTAAGACTTGCGTTGATGTTTTGACTGCTGTCGGTGCTTTCCGCGCCTTGGATATTCGAGAGTGCTCACTTTGCTATTCAGAATCTTCAGGGTGATTGTTTTCAGAGGGACGTCTTTCAAGGCATCATAATATCGAAGAGCCAGATGGTCAGGCATGAGCGAGGTCCAGCTGATGTTCAACATAGTCAAGAACATCGTCGGGGAAGGCATGCTTAGCCTCCCTGCCGGAATTGCGGGTGGAACAGGCGCGCTCCAACCAGGACACGTGTGCATCGTAGAAAGCTCCGATCCCTTCCCTGTGTCCACAGGTCTGTTGGCCAGAACCTTTGGCATCCTGTGATGTCCTTACAGAGCGACCGTCCTCAGCCCGTATGAATTCCGAGGTGGGCAGCATCATCGCCGTTCTATTCAGCATGCTCATGGGCTACACTTTTTCTATCATGGGCCGCACCTGCTATGCTACAGGCCACTTACAGCATGCCCCTTGCAACATGCTCAACATGCCGATTTGCCGCCAGGTGCGGCGAGCCACAAGGACTGCGCAGCAAAAGTCTCAGGTCCTCGTCTGGCTCAGACCATGGCCGTTGTTCTCTTCATTAAGACCGCCTTCACGCGCCTTCGTCGCAAGATCACGAGGCTGTTGAGCTCTGCATTCCACGCTCACGAGAGAGTCCAGGTGCTTGACCTTTGCTATTGTGATCAGCGAGTCCTTTGCCAGGACACTGCAGCTGGGCATGACTCCACATGACTCATCAGTAGTGTCATCTATAGCCATCTTCACGAAGCAGCATCAGTCGCCTGAGGCAGTACTTTGGTGTTGGTGGTTTTATGGCCACTTCCCAGGCGCCTGCGCCAGTCTGTGATAACTCTGCAGCTGACGGTCGGCCTGTCATGCCTGTCAAAGGCTGCCTTGCTCACCCTCGGCATTTTCGTGTTGCTGCCTCTCTGCCTTCAGAAAGATCTCCGTGCCACAGCCCAAGACAGCTCCTTCGTATCGCCTTGAGCTTAAAGAGCGAAGAAGGCCGCGAGTGTCGCTGCAGGTTTTGTCATACACATCCATGGTCGGCTGCCTTGGACAGGTGCAAGCACTCACACTTAGGACTGGTTCGAGTGTTCAGAGGAGTGTCTGGCAGGTGTGGGTCGTTTTCGTGATGCAAGTTCGATATGTGGATGGCTCATATAGACCCGGGGGTCGATTCTACGATCTCATCGCTGCAAAGGACCAGCTCTTTTTGATGACTCCTTAACCTGTCTTTAAAAATCTCTAAATGGAGAGGACAAGCCAGACTTCAGCGGGGGCGTGAGCTATTGGCAGAGCAGCGTCAGAACCTTGGGGGCAGCCACTCTCGAATGCAAGTCAAGCGGCACATGCCTGAGCGAGTGAATGGATGTGCTTTTCAGGCAGCAACCTTCGTGCTCATAGGCTCTCTGGCCACAGCCTACATTGCGCGCCTCGGTCGCCAGAAGGGGCTCTACTTTAGCAAGTGGCCACTGGCCTCGAAGGGTGTAGCGACAGTGAGGACCTCGGGTTGGCATCGCTGTGATATCCGGCCAAGGCACTACAATGCCCCCAAGTTCTACTCGCAGCTAAAGGATGCGACGCCGCAGAAGTTCACCAAGGCATGAAGCCCGGAACCCCCGATTTGATGTTCACTTCGAAGCAACGCCGCCGCGTGCAGAGATAGTTTCAAGGGGGAGCAAAGTCGGGCCGTGTGAAACCTTGATCCTTGCAGGTGGTAGCAGGAGCTTTCGGCTTCGCCCTGGTGGTGTACTTCTGGATCATGTGTGTGGGCTATTTGACTTTTGGCAAAGCCGCCGAGGGTTTGATCCTCAACAACTACTCTGAACAGGACGCCAGCAACAGCGAGACAGCATGAGACAGTGAAGGGAAGCGTCGTTTGAGCATCGTGGTCCGTGAGAGGTAGCTACGTAGCCTTCCTATACAGGATGGCCTCGCGACGGCTGCCAGGATCGCCATTAGCCTGGCAGGGGCCCCGCTTAAAGGAGGAGTCCTTCGCAGCCTTGGAAACCTCTTCTCTGAGGCCGTGATCTTCGCCTTCCCTTTGGGCTTCACGGGCTTCAGGGACTCCATGATGTCCGTCTTCGATGTGCCACAGGACCCAGCGGCTGAGCAATGCTGAGGAAATTATCGGATCCGACAAGAGGAGAAGTTCGTTCCTGTGACGCTCCTCCTCTTGGGGGGCATCGTCCTTGCGGCCTGCTGCTTCCATGACCTGGGCCTGGTCTGAACCCCAACTTGCGCCCAGCGCGGCCGCGTGGCGCTTTTTTTTTTTTTTTCCGTTTTTGCGCGCCGTCCTTGCAGGTCAACAGCCTGGGTGGCGCCATCCTTGGGGCGCTGATCACGCCCCTCGGCTGAGCTCACGCGACGCGATTTCTGCTCGCGCAGTGCAGTTCTAGCGCCTCGACGCTTCTTCGCAGGCTCATCTTCCCTGGCCTCCTGCTCTTCTATGGCGGCCACACCCCGCCTCGTGCCCAGTTCTAGGCAAGATCGTCGGAACGGAGAGCGTCTGATGCATCCTTGCGTCGAGGGGCGTGACGGAGTTCGGAGAGTTGGAAGCTCGAGCGGGTTCCTTCGGCATCCTCGTGCTGGGATTCACTCTTTTAGTGTCGGGTCCTGAGTCGTAGTCACAGCTGTGAAACTTCGCGGACTTGAGTTGGGATGCAGCATGCATTTGTGTCGATGATGTTAGCCGTGGGCGGCCCCAAACCGCAAAAATCCGCTCGCAAGGTTTGGATCCGTGGTGGTGGTAATCGCCAAACTACATCCCGAAGCACTGCATCGCTGACCACGCTCGCTGATCGTCGCTGACTTCGTCACTGTGTGTCTACTGACATGTTTCACTGCTTGCCCTGAAGCCATGGCGGCGCTGCCATATGGGCGAAGCATATACGTTGCCCCGTGCGGACAGTCGAAAACTTGGTGCAAAGATGCGTGGCCCGGATGGCCCGGAGCGGTGCAAGATGGGTTGTGAGAACTTTCGTGCAGGCCGAGCTACAACACATGCGCATGGAGAACACACGCCTTCGTCTGCGGCTGGCAGAGGCTGGCCTTGGCCTCACGTCAGGAGCTCAACTTCTCACGAACCTTCCCCGAGATGTTCCGAGCTCCCTTTCTAGGCTAGACTCTGCAGCGGCCGTCGAGGCCGAATGCACGTGGTAGGCATAGTAGCATTGCTGGTTATGCTCCGGCAGTCCTTGAACTTTCATGACTGTGCATCAGGGCCACAAGCCCGCCGCCCTCGCTGAGATGTCCAAAGCTGCACCGCAGGCACCAGAGCCAACAAGGAAGCGTACCGCAGTGTCCGGCTGTTCCGGCTGCAGATTGGCTGATTTGACTGTGTGGCAACCAGGACTGGCGACCAGCCTCTTAACGCCGACACTGACAGCATGGACACCAATCGAGAAGGCGTAGAGTCAGCGACAGAAGTATTGGCCGTGGTGTGGTCTTGCGGCAGGGCCCAGCCATCCTCCAGAACTTAGCACACCCGTGCCGGACCTGCGAGGCTGTTTGTGTGTTGTGTGCAAGACAGTGATGACTGAAGATGAATGAAACTGAATGAAGAGGTGCTATGGCGGATTCACAAATCCTGGCGGGGCACCCAAGATTGGAAGTATCAACATGTGGGGGGTCGTCAGGGTTTTGGCAATCTTAGGAGCCTGTGTCCTGCGCGAAAGAGCTCACGCTGGCGACTCGTTGACTTCATGAAGCTCAGATGTGAGCCATTGATTTCGAGGCCAGAAGTTGTCGAGGAGGTGCACAACCTGCGAAGCCCACAAAGACCACCAGCGTCCACGGATCCAGGTGCCCGCAAGCACGCAGTTTCAAAAAAGCTACACCAGGATGAACACCTTGCCAGTAGGATACTGCTTGCAGCATGCAAGTACAGATCATAGTTCCCAGTGCCTTTCCGGCAGCTGTAGCTTCGCCAAGCATGGCACCTCAGCGCAGCATCAATTCCGTAGCACAGGCGACGTCGTGTTGGCACTGGGGGCGCTCCTTCGCAAGTATGGGTTCCGGGGCCCAGTTCTATGAAGCATCAGGCAGTTTAAGCACAGCACGACCATGGAGACTTTGCTCGGCACTTGGGAGCTTCTGCTACGGCTGCTGGGTTGATAGCATATGGTCGCGCCGTGATCATTTTACATGCTGCAGCACACGTGGGTGCGGGCAAGAGCCAATCAGAGTCAGCCAAGTGCGCAGGTTACACGGTTTGCCGGTCAGCCAACATCGACAGGCCTCCCATCGCTTGAGGGGGTGTTGACACCTTCAGTCTGGATGCAGTAGGCACCCGAAGCTGCCTGTCTTTCCGGTTGGTGGATTTGCAGGTTGAGGCTGCCTGGACGGTGGCTGGAAGAACGTGCCGCTGGCATCGTTTGATGTTCCGGGAGGAGATTAGGGATGGCTCGTGCAGGCACCCGAGAATTCAGTTCGACACTCAGAGTCGGAAGTGTCCAGGCTCCTTCTTCGTCAAAAAGGCTGCGATCTCGAGGCTTCAGGCACTTCGGGGCAGTGCACAGAGAGTGTTGCAACTTAGCCATGCCCATCAGGCGATGGAGGCCAAAGTTGGGAGCTGTTGGAGGCGCTTTTCGTCCAAAATCTGGCGCAGCTACAGGCCTCGCCGCTCATGGCATGGGTTCTCCGGAATTTTGGTGATAAGAACGGCCGCGGGCCTTCTTCTAGCACTGCATTCTCTTCTCATAGCCGTCATAGCTAGTCCTAAGTCCTGAGTTTTCGGCGCCGAACCCGGGAAAAAGTCCAACTGGAAGACTCCGAAACGCCTGAGTCCTAGCCTTGAAGCCTCAACCAACACAAGCTAGCCAAAACTCTAAACTCACAACTCGGCTTGGGAGTTTCAGAAGACAAGGGGAATTTGTGAACCTGAAGAAATGCAGTCCTGGCCTAACACCATGAATCAATGAAGCAGTGTGTGAAATCCTGCTCTGTTAGTGCATCCGTGTTGACGTTCTTGTACAGTTGTAGTTCATGCAGTACTTATAATAGTGCTAGAGTTTGAATTGCAGTGAAATGACTGTATATACCGCAGACGTCTTGAGACCAAAGCAGCAGCTAGAAAAGCTCGATTGCACCTGAATCCCCC